TGGCTTGGCTTAGGGCTTAGGGGTTCTGGGGTTTGGGGTTTAGGGTTTAGGGTTCAGGGTTTAGGGTTCATTTTTGGGGGCGGGGTTTCTAGATTGTAAACGGAACCTCCGAGAGGTGAAGTGGAGAACTTGACAGTCGTTCTCTAGCAACCCTCAGCCCCAATCGCAAGATGAACGTCCCCCTGGGTAGGGGCCGCTTGGCTCCTAAACCCGAACCCCTAAACCCTAAACCCTAAACCCTGAAACCCTAGCAAAGCTTCAAAGGGGGAAGCGTCCGGATTTAGGATCTCGGATCCATGGGTTCAGGACATACCTGCAGCTAAAATAACCGAAGGAGGGCTTTGTGTAAGTACAGGCGACAGTAAAGAATGCAGAGGAACCCTACGACAAAAAGTAAGTTCTGGTCGGCTGAGGTATGTTTGAGTGCGCAGGAGTTGAGACTTGTCCCTTCACTTCAATGCAAACCCTGAACCCCAAACCATAAAACCCTAAACCCTACACGCTAAACCCCTAAGCCCTAATAGGCCCAAAACCCTGAACCCCTAAACCAATCAACCCTAAACCCCCAAAGCCCCTAAACCCTAAACCCCGAAAACTCCTAAACTCTGAACCCTAAAAGACTTTTGGGTGACGTCGGGCTGCGGGTTGAGACTTCTGTGCGGATGGTGTGCCATTGAGTTTGTAGGACTTGGGGTTTAGGGTTTAGGGCTTAAGGTTTAGGGTTCAGGGTTTTAGGTTTAGGGTTTAGGGTTGGAATTGCGGGTTCAATGGAATGAAGGGGATATGGGCTACGGGGTGCTGAGATCATGCAAGCAAACCCAGATTTACCCGATGGGCTCATCGGACAAAATTTGATTCTGGCCAATCCTCGTGTTAGGGTTTAGGGCTTTGGGGTTTGAGGGTTGATGGATAAGGGGTCTGGCGCTCGACCATGCCCGAGATTGCCGGTCGATGCTACTCCATACTTGTCGATCTGACGCCAGCAGATCAAACCCTCCCATTTCCGTTAACTCCCTTTGGGTTCTACCTTAAACCTTCTCAAGCAGTGCATAAAGCGCGGCAAACTCCGGCTTCGTAGTCTGGCTCGCAGATCCCTACAGGTTCAGGTATCTGCACAGCTAGTGCCCATAAAGGACCCCCCCGCCCCCCTTGAGGGGCCCAGTTTGTGTAAGAGGTCGATCCAGGGACCCTACTTGGGGTAGGGTTTAGGATTTAGGGTTTAGGGTTTAGGGTTTAGGGTTTAAGCATCGACCTGCAGGTTAAGAAAAACCGAAAGCCCTATATAATGCTTGAGCTTGAAGACTCACTTGAGCTCAGGAATCCAACAGTACCCTAATGAATCTTCTAATGAACCTTCAAAAACGATGAGGAGCCCTGAGCCGGGGTAATTAAGCCGTAGCAAACTTGAGTGCGCTGTGACAGCCTGGTCAAAAGCCATACCTGACATGCTAGTAATCAAACCCTTGACAACAAAAAGCCCTAAACCCTAAACTCTGAACCCTAAACCCTAAACCGTGCAAACCAACTCAAACTCCGACTCCACCTACCCAAAACCCTAACCCCCCCCCCTTTAAACATCTCAAAACTGTGAGAGACTGCCTTGCATGTCTCCATCGCCGTCGGAGTCGTCACCGTCTGCCCCATCTTCTTGCCTCTCTCAAGGCTCAGCTCGGCTTAGGGTTTAGGGTTTAGGGTTTAGGGTTTAGGTACCCAGAGGCCCTAAAGTAGCTCCCTTTTTGGGGGCTCAGATATAGAATCCTAGAAGGTAATCCCAAAAGGGAACTACTATGGGGCCTATGGGTATCGAGTGTTCAAGGGTTTCGGGTCTAGGGTTTTGGGGAATTAAGGGCTAAAGGTATCTAAACCTGGGGATCCGGGGTTCTGAGAGTACAGCAAGGTGAGACTGCATGAGGGCCCACGGTTCAGATCCCTATTCCTCAGTAACCCCTTGCTTGTTGAGAATAAAGGTACGCTTATTCCTTATCTCACCGCCTTCCGTAGAGCTTAGAGTCTTCGAGCTCAACTCCCAACAGATAAACCCTGCTTCAGCGTTATAACAGAGATCCCTAGCACCATAGCATCATTGACACCTATTCTCCTGGCCTTCTCCCCGATGTAGGTGATGCACTGTTAGATGAGCCCCCTGATGCCAAAAATCCTAAACTCTAAAGCCTAAACCCTAAACTCCAAACCCTAACTCCTAAAATCCTAAACTCTAAACTCTAATTCCCTAAAACTCTGAACTCTGAACCCCAAACCTCAACAAATATCGAGTTTCGGATTCGGGCCAATAGGATTTGCCGTCAACGGCGCACCTGTCTTCGTCGTAGCTCCGGCCGTACGACCCGGACACCTTGGGCAAGGAGCTGCCGGCTGATCGGGCTTGGTTGGGTCTCCCTGGGTTTCTGGGGGTTTATAATTCCTTGTACCCAGAGACTCCAATATCCCTTAATTAAGGATTATTTACCTTAAATCATATTAGGGATCCTACTATAATTTAAGGTATATTCCTTAATTAAGGGATATTGGAGTCTCTGGGTAGCCTACGGTACTGCTATCCTAGTACCCAGTTTTAGGGTGCTGGAGAAGGAAGCAGCTAAACTCTAGACTCTAAAACCCATCCTCGCTCCGGAAATGGGTGGCCGGGATAATTGGTCTATGGTTGGGGGTGTACTTTGAATTTGGGAATCATGGGGTGTCCTATTGCTGATTTTTCTGATACATATTCGGACGTGTAACCGTTAAAACTCATTACGTCAAAGAGCATCGCAACCTTACGCCCCAACAGCCTGCACCACGAACCCACTAAGTGAAGCCACGGGCACTTCCGCGTCGCCGTCTCCGTAGGAGATTCCCCATTCATTTCCTGACGAACACTGAAGAGCTTGGGCTTTCATAGGAATTGACCCAAACACTAAACCCTAAACCTGAACCCTAAACCCCAAACCCTAACCTAGGGAGTGTCTGTGGGATCTCTAGGAGCAGGAATTACGACCAGCTTAGGTGCGGGCATGTAATGGCATAGTTCATCTGCATCAGACAGCTAACGGGACGATAGGATTCGGGGCTCCCGTCTAACATAGGGGCCTTATTAATTAGAATAGGGTTTTGGGGCCCATTATACCACAATTATCATAAGGAGCCCCTCTTAAAATAGTATAGGTAACTGTTAAGGTCCCTATATTAACGCCCAAGCCTCAAGGACTACAGCTAGCGAGATGAAAGTAGCATAGTGCTGGCGAGTCTCGGGTCTGTGGAACTTAGTTGCTTGGTCTCTGGGCTTTGGTGAGCTGAAGGGGTTAGGGGTTTAGGGGCTTAGGGTTTAGGGATGTGGAGATCAATCACTGGCTAATGGCAGTGGTTTATTCAAGTTTTTTTCGTCGGGTGCAGGGCACAGTACCCTAGGCCCTAAACCCTTTTAAACCTAACCCAGTCTGTGCCAGCCACTAAGGTCTGCTTCGCGGAGGGGCAGCCAGTGTGCCGATGGTGCCAAAACGCAGTTATCCTTCAATGCAAAAATTCCCCAACCTCAACACCCTACCTAAACCGTAAAGCCTAAAGCCGAAGCCGTCAAACAGAAACCCTGCAGCGAGAACCCATACTCTGCAATGGACTTCTCTGTTTTGGGAAGTGGAGGAGCCTGGTAACCTAGTAATAGAGCCCGCAACCTGATCAAACCTGTCCGGATTCCCTACAAGGCCCTCCACCCCAAAAAGGCCCCTGAATCCAAGGACCCTGGACCCTAAACCCTAAACCCTGAGGCCTAAACCCTAAACCCCTAAACCCTAAACCCTAAACCCTGAGCCCTAAACCCTGAACCCTCAACCCTTCTTGGTGCAAAAAAAAACCGCGAATCCAGACAGCCCTACGATAAGCCTGAGGCCGCCTCGGGAAGCTGCCGGACCTTGAATCCTCACCGCCCTAAACCCCCAAACCCCAAACCCTAAACCGTGACCCTAAACCCTAAACCCTAAAGTTTAGGGTTTAGGGTTTTCCCTAAACCCAAAACCCCAAACCCTAAATCCTAAACCCTAAACCCATAAACCCCTAAACCCTCCGAACCCCCCCGAAATTCGGAACCCTAACCCCTGAACCCTAAACTCCCGAAAGTCTGAACCCTGATCTCCAAACCCCAAAAGCCGAACCATAAAACCTCCTAAACCTGAACCCGTAGCCGTCGGTAAGATCCTCTTATGTACTCCGGCTTCAGCGGCCGAGGGGCCTGGCTGTTTACAAGGGCCCGAAGCCCATAAGACTGACTTGAAGAGGAATCTCCAACGCCCAAAAATCACAAATCTCGGCTTAGGGTTTAGGGTTTTGGGTGTAGGGACACCTCTCCCCCCCTCTGCCACCGAAAACTCGAAAACACCGAAATCCGAAACTCAAAGACCGCGTCCACTTCGCAGAACGACCCTTCCGGAAGGCCTTCACCGGCCCAGGCTTGCGCAGGCCGGCCCTTGGTGTGGAAGACAGGGTGAGGGTTTAGGGTTTAGGGTTTAGGGTTTAGGGTTTAGGGTTTAGGGTTAGGGTTCATTCCACACCAAGAGGTTTTGAGTTGCAGGTAACGAGCAGACATGCAACAAGCAGACGCAGCTGTACTCGGCACATGCGGTGACGAGCCAAGAACTCGAAGCCTTGAACAGAGACCCAGAAAACGAAAAACCCGACACCCTAAGCCATAAATCCCAAACCCGAGCCCACAAACCCTCGAAGCCCTACTCAGCCCCACTCAGCCCTAATCGGCCCAACAAAGACCCTAAACCCTTCTAAACCCTTAAACCCCAAACCCGCGAGGTCCTGGATCCTGGAGCCTAAACCCTCGAAGAGGAAGCTTTAAAGCGACCCTTAGTAGATCCCTTAAAGGATCCCTTAAAGGAACCCTTAAATTAGTCCTTAAAGCGATCCTGAAAGGGACCCCTGAAAGGAACCCCACGATTGAAGCTCGAACCCGGAACCTGCCATGCGCCGAGCCAATGTTGAAATGCAGGGGGGCTTAGGGTTTTTTGGGGATTGGGAGATTAGGCTTCCTGGCTCTGAATAGGTCTTAGGGCTTTCGATCTAGGACCTTAAACCCTAAACCCTAAACCGTAGGGTCCAGGGTCTGAGGTTTAGGGTTTAGGGTTTTTCGGGTTTAGGCTCCGCATATAGGGTTCCCCGAACCCTCCAGTCGAAACCATCTGGGGCTTTCTGATCCGATGGGTTGCTTCGATTACAGGGTCCCTTTCGGGCTGATGTTGTGCAGGCTCCCAAACCCTAAACCCTAAACCCTACACCCTAAATCCTGAACCCTAAACCCTAAATCCTGAACCCTAAACCCTAAACCCTAAATCCTAAACCCTAAATCCTGAACCCTGAACCCTGAATCCTNNCCTGAATCCTAAACCCTGAACCCTATCAGAGGCTCAGAGGGGATAGACGTAAGGGTAGACTTTACAAGGGCTTCTTATCAGGATCCCACTGTCCTCCAGTTCGGGCCTGCATTTGGGCTTTCTATGCCGTACCCAGACTGACCTTGGGCCCCATGCCTCTGTATTATAACCATACATACTTACATACTTACATAC